TAATTCTACCACTACCACCACAGCCACTACTACCACCACCACCATCACCACTACCACCACCACCACCACTACCACCACCACCACTACCACCACCACTAAACTGTTCTCGGACTTAGCATCGCATGTGAAAAGTGTTTTTTGGATGTCTCCAAGGGTTTTTCTCAGGCACCCATGCATATCCTAACACGCTGGCTAATTCCATCTCCATCTTTGGGTTAACCACAACAGTCCCCGAGCTCATCATTATTACCGGTCAGCGGTCAACATCATCGTTTTCATTTCAGGGGTGGGGATTACGTCGACAAGTGGCCGTTCATCTTCGACRACCTCCACAAGCATGGTTACGTCACTTCCTGGTCAGAGGACCATGCAAAATACGCGGCCTTTCAATATCGTCTGAAAGGGTTCGTCAAAAAACCTGTAGATCATTTTCTAAGAAACTTTTGGGTAGCAGCTTCCGAGCATACTGATGGAATGGAAACTTATTGTCTTGGCCCTGAACTTGGCTTCAAGAAGCGCTTTCGATACATAAAGAGTCTTTTCAAGGCGTACCCCAAGAAAAGAAAGTTTGCTCTGTCGTTCTTCKCACTTGGTCACGATGATGTGAACTCACTTGGCTTACCCGATGAGGACCTCTCTACAYTCCTTCGTGACATGAAGGAAAGCGGTTACCTTGACAACACGATGYTGGTCGTCATGGGCGACCATGGAATTCGGTATGGAGCAATACGCAAGACTATTTTGGGTAAATTAGAAGAGCGATTGCCTTTGTTGTATATGGCTGTTCCTAAATGGGTTAAAGAAAAATACCCGGARTTTATTCGGAATTTAAACATCAATACGAATCGGCTAACGACACCGTACGATCTTCACGCAACGCTGCAGCAGATACTTTCCAAAACRCACAAGAAAACGTATACGTTTGGTCAGAGTTTATTTTCAGAGATTTCTAAATCTCGCACGTGTAAGGAAGCGGGGAATCCGGCGCATTTCTGTCCGTGTATTGATTTTCGACCTGTTGATCCTCGTCATAAACACTTAAAACAATTTGGTGAGGAGACGGTTCGATGTATTAATCAGGTTGGTGTTGCGGGATTTTATCTTCTTTCTATTTATAATCTTTTTTACATCTTTTGGGTCCCTTCCTTCCTCCCTTTCTTCTTTATCACTTCTGCCATTCTTTCTTTCTTTCTTCAATCCATTTTTCTCCCTCCCTCTCTCCCGCCCTCCCTCCCTCTCTCCCTCCCTCCCTCCCTTCAACGTGTAACAGAGAACACATCATTYAAATCGGTTAAGTTTAAAATTAATTGTTGTGTTTTTTAGTTAATTAAAGATGAAAATCTCACCGAGGTATGCTCSCTTTTGACTCTTGAACGAGTCGAGAACTCTGTTTATCTTGCACCAAACGAGAAAGTGCAAAAGTTTGAAAAATCTGCCGACGTCGATGGTCGAGTTGTTGCTGAGGGGTCAAGATCAAAAGGTGAGTTGCTAGWATGRAAAGTAGGCGAATTTTTGATTCTTAATCAAGAAGATCTCTTTGTCGCTCACTGTTTTACCATTTCAGACAACCTGTCATTCTCTCGCGAATATGGATAAAACTCAAACAAAGCCAAAATCTTTCTTTTGGCTGCTAGATATTTGAATGCTCCTTACAACAATCCCATGGACAAAGTTTATGTTTACTTATTTTGCAATTTCGGATGAGCATAAATCAAACATTGTGCAGGGTCAAGACCGGTTCAACATCAAAAGTGAACAAAGACCTGATAACAATAGGTTTCCTAACCATTCCCCTCTATTAACTATGGTGTAAATGAGTCTGTAATTGAGAAACACAGCATTTATTTGGAACTCGAAAATGGTCTATTAAACTGGTACAACTTCATCTTCCAGGAATGTGTAATTATCAAGCTCAAGTAATGACGTCACCCAACGATGGTATCTATGAGGTCACAGGTCACGTGAGTGGCATGATACCTCACGTGAACCCACAGATGAGTCGGCTTGACAAATATGGTGATCAGCCCAAGTGCATTATGGACTCTCGACCTCACATGAGAAAATTTTGCTACTGTAAAACGAAATCGTCATAGGTGTGGAACACAATCTCGTACCCAGAGCCCTTATTTCTTATTGCGCATGCTCAACGAAATAATTGGGCTCTGGAAAACTCCAAACCGGAAGACCCAGATTCTGGGTTTCTCGCACATGCGCATTATGACAGACTAGGTAAATTCAAAA